TATTTGGGGGAGTGCATCACCAGACTGTTTCTCCTAGTCTGAGTCTGGAAGTTCTGTTGAAAGTCATTCAGCATCATAGGAACATGTCAGTCTCCACTGCGGCTTGGGTGGTGGTTGTGCGAAAGTTACACTGACCAGGAACTGAACCTGGATCTACCATGGAAGGTGGAAATTCTACAATTAAACTACAAATGCCTTAGTACATAATTATGATCAATCTATAAAAAAGGACAATTGTATGTTTGACATCATCAGTATTCATAGTAATAGGTAGTGCTGTAAGATAAGCACTAGACAGCTAACCACAAAGTTGGTGATTCAAACCCACCAGCCGCTTATCGGAAACCCTAAACAGGGTCACTGTGAGTGGGAACTGATTCAACAGCACTTAACAACAATGACAACAATGCTTATGAAGTCCAACCAAAAATAAACAAGTAAGTAGGATCAGTATTTTGGATGAGAAAACTGAGATTTACTCAAGGTTTTATGGCGCTGTGTGTTAATGCGCCAGACTGCAAAGCTGTTTGAACTACAAGGCTGGTGGTTCAAGATCACCAGAAGCTCCTCAGAAACCCTATACAGGATCGCTTTGGATCAGAATTGACTCGATGGCACTTAACAACAACAACATACTGCTAACAAGTGGCTGAGATAAGATTATAAAACAGGATTTCTGATTCCAATTCTAACATTCTTTCTTCTAATTGTGTTGTTGGTATAATCTCAACAAAAACTTCCTAGAAAATAGGCAGTCTAAATTTACTGTGAGTTACCAAATAATAATGAAAAATAAAACATTGAAAGTTGACTAGAAGACCAAGGGTTTATACAATCAGATCCTATTCCTTTGACCACTCTACAGAAAGAAAGAAAAAAAGCCTACTAAAAATCCACCGTAAACCTCTTTTAAACATTGCTAACTTTTCTATGTAAATTTATTGCAGAAAAAGATATTTTGCCTAGTAGAACTATTTTAGAACTCAGTCAGTTCTAGATGTCTTACCTAACAATCCTGTTTATATCAAAATATTGAGGTATCTGATTCTTCATATGAACTGATTCTAAGGAAATGAAATCTGAAGGTTTAGTCAAATAGTACTTTATTGACAAACAAATATTTACTAAGTTACAATACTTCCATGAGATTTAGAGACTAAGGAAGTTGTCTGGCTTTAAACACTAAGTACTAGTCTAAGGAGTACTGAAAAAAAGAAAAATAAGGAACAGATCGATACTCTTAAGGCAAATCCTGGAAGACAAAAAACAGGAATAAAAGACACCAAAAAAGAAAGAAAAATAACAATAATGAAAATTTTATCTGATCAGAAAGGAAAAATCACTTCCAGGCTTCATAGAACTCGGGTAAATACGTGTATTTCTAAGGAATATTTTAATTACTGTTTCTACTATATGAGTGGGGGAAAAGTAGTTTGCAATGCACCCAGATGAGGTACTGGACTGTCTTTCCCTGAATTTTAAAATTTCTTCTGTTATTTGTGAAGTGACAGAGTGAGATGACCATCAGAGCCATGATATTAAAGGAAGCTTACAAGGATGGATAGAGAGTCCAAATGAAATCAGTGAACCAAGCAAAAATAATCCCAGGATTTCAAGGAGGTGAGAAAAAGAGTTTAGGGTTTCAATCTTTGAAGAAATAAAAGAAAAAAGAAAAAGAATAATAATTTTAAATCATAATAGTCAAAGAGTAGTTCAAAGGTTGTTAACAAAACTTGGATTCTGTTGTTTATGCCACATAACCTAATTTTATTCCACTTAACATGAACAATTAACTCTTGTAATTAAATAATTACCTGAAATTCCATTTTCAATAACTGCATCCATCATAAATATGTCAGTATTTAATCAGTTCGCTACTGTTGTGCATTTCACTTGTTTTCATTTATCCTGCTACAAATAATAATGACATGGACATACTTACAGGGAATTCTTTGTGTACATTCCTGATTTTTTATGAGTGTTTGCCTACACTCTACTTTGATTTAAAAGTATTAAATTGAAAAAATAAATTGATATATGCATACAGAGTTGTTGTTAGGTGCAGTAGAGTTGGTTCCAACTCACAGTGACTCCTTATAGGGTTTCTGAGGAGTGGCTGATGGGTTTGAACAGCTGACCTTGAGGTTATAAGTCCAGTGTTTATCTTATAAAATTATGCTTGTTTTGTGTGGCACTGTGGGTTAATGCATCAGACTGAAAAGCTGTTTGAACTGCAAGGTTGGTGGTTCAAGCTCACCAGCTGCTCCTTGGAAACCCTATAACAGGGTCACTATGGGTCAGAACTGATTCGATGGCACTTCACAACAACATCCCTCTATGCACTGTAGGATGACCCTTAACAACAACTATAACAACAACAGCTCAATGTTAATGGTAGTCAGGGAGTTAGAATGTGGATAATAACTGTAAAAACTCATTCAACTTTTCCATAAATTTTTCATAGCAAAATGTTGGAAAAATGTATGCTTATAAGAATAACTTCCTTGAAATAGAATGAACCATTCATAAGTATACTTTTTTAAAAATTTGTAAAGTTAAAACATCAACCAGAAGGTGTTAGTTCCATCATATTTGCAGTATCGCATTTTGTTGTTGTTGTTTGCCTTCAAGTCGTTTCCAACACGTAACAACCCTGTACAGGGTTTCTGAGAGCAGCTGATGGGGCTGAACTGTCAGCCTTGGGGTTAGCGGTCCAGTGCCTATCCTATGCATCACACCAGGGTTCCCTTTTTAGTGATTTTTAAAGTTTTGCCAAATTGTAAGACAAAAAAAAAGAGGTCATTCATCTTTTAAATGATCATTTCTATATACATTTTAAAATTGAAAAGCTCCCACACATGCTTGGTCTCAGATTTGAAGTTGGTTATTCAACCCATGAAGCAGTCATCAAGATTCAAGGACCCACCCAGAGGCACTTCTTATTATTGCTAGCAAGCATGATACTCTCAAGAAAAACTTGCAAACCTAATTATACTGGAAAGTGTTACTTCTAGGCCAATAGAACATGCAGGCAGAGGGGATTAACACCCAGATGCCAAATGGATCTTGAGAAAGAGTTCTTCCTTCACAAAAAAAGTCTCTTCTGCCATTTTAGAAAGAGGCTCAGAATTCTAATAATTCACGATGAAGCAATTGTTGTTGCTGTTAAGTACCGTGGAGTCAGTTCCAACTCATAGTGACCCTGCACTGAGTTTCCGAGGCTGCAAATCTTTACGGGAGCAGAAAGCTTCATCTTTCTCCCACTGAACAGCTGGTAGTTTTGAACTGCCGACCTTGAGGTTAGCAGCCCGATTCGTAACCATTACGCTATCAGAGATCCTTTTTTGTTGTTATGTGCCATGGAGTCGGTTCTGACTCACAGCGACCCTGGACAGCATTTCCGAGGCTATAAATCTTTATGGGAGCAGAAAGCCTCATCTTTCTCCCGGGAAACAACTGGCAGTTTCGAACTGCTGACCCTGAGGTTAGCAGCCCGATTCATAAGTACTGTGCTACCAGAGCTCCTTTAGGTCTCCACAAATCCTCTTTTAAGATTCAGGTAGCTTAGTTCAGCAGTCCCTTGGTGGAGCTAGTGGTTCATGTTTGGCTACAAACTGAAAGGTTGGTGATGCAAAGCCACCCAGAGGCACCTCAGAAGAAAGGCCTGATGATCTGCTTTTTTGAAAGGTCACCGCCATGAAAACCTTATAGAGAACAGTTGTACTCCATAACACATGGGTAGCCATGAGTCAGTATCAACTTAATAGCAATTATTTTCTTGATTTATTTTACTTACTTTAATAGAAGCCAAATCTACTACCATTAAGTCAATTCTGACTCATAGTAGCCCCATACAGATAGTTTTTAAGAGTATAAATCCTGAAGACAGCAGACAGCCTCTTCTTTCTCCCACGGAGCAATTGATGGGTGTGAACCAGCAGCCTTTCGGTGAGCAGTCTAATGTCTAACTCATGGCACTACGAGTGCACCCATTGGTGGAATGCAATGGATCCATGAAAAAGAACTGTAGAGTTGTACATTTATTTATATGGAAAGATATAATAATGTACTGTTCACTGAAACAAACAATCATGCATATGTGTATACAATAGAAATGTGGGGGAGAATACTCATTAAAATATGATTAGTAATTATCTGTAGTTGAAGGAAATATGGGAGATTATACCCTTTTTAAAAATTTCTCTATTGTTTATTTTTACTATGGATATTTATCATATTTATAATAAAAAACAATGAGGCACTCTGCATTTTGATCAAAACAAAATTGAAAACATTCCAGGATAGGAAAACCACTATGCCATTACCACTTTAATAAAACTTAATTCAGCAAGATTTTCAAGCTAATGTCTCCTCAGAAATAAGATAGAAAGGCAGTGTATTTTTAAATGAGTAAAACAAAAAGGCTAAAGCTAGACTAGGCAAAGAGATCTCCAGTCAGGTACTAAAGTAACCTATATGTAGGATGTGGAATCCTAATGTGAAAGGTAAGTACTGGACCCCAAGGTCGGTTTGAATCACAAGGTTGGTAGTTCAGATTCACTAGGGGCTGCTCAGAAACCCTCTACAGAGTCGCTATGAGTCCAGAACTGACTCAATGGCACCTCACACCAAGAATGGATAGGTATATATTATCCTTCAGAGGTGCCCATAGAGGGAAAAAAATAGATAATGAAAGACATTTGTAGTCCTTTAATCTAAGAGATACCAAAAGGGAGAAGGCTCATTGCCATCTACACAGATTCAAAGAGGATCTTAATTAACTTTACCACACTTCTGCTTTCAATATTATAGAAAATACCACCTTGCAAATGATGTTCACCTCACTCCCTACAGAAGGCCCTGGATCCAAGGGAGGCTTGGTGGTTTATTTTCTCTGTGTGTGCTTCTATTGTTAAAAATATTTTTAATAGATTTAAATAATTTTAATTGATAATTTACAAAGACTATAAGGAGAAAATGACATTTTAAACTTTACTTACCTCAGTAGGAGGACATGTCTGTACATGGGCAGATGTTTCTGGATGTGACCCATTTTTAAGTTGAAAATGTGTTTTGCACATGTAGCCATCAGAACAATCCTGTGTTGTTACAGCACCAAAGAATACATAAGAAAATATACATTAATTTTAAAACTCATCATTTTAAAAATAAAATGTCTCAAAAATTTCATACAAAGCAATGAAAACCTAATTAAATGAGATGATATGAAAAAAAAAGCATCTAGGCTAAATATCTCTTGCATACAGTAGGAATTCAATACGTAGAAGTTTTATTCTCATGCCTTTTTCATTTATTAATGTTTCCTCTTTTCTTAAAAACCACCAAGTCAATTCCAATTCATAACAACTCTATAGAACAGAAAAGAAATGACCCATAGGATTTCCGAGGTGGTAAATCTTTATGGAAACAGACTGTATCATTTTTATCAAGAATAGCTTCTGGTCAGTTCAAACCACCAACCATTTAGTTAGCAGCCCAACTGTGCCAGCAGGGGGCCACATTCATTCATTCATTCATTCATTCATTTATTTATTTATTTATTTATTTATTTATTTATTTATTTATAAGTAATCCATAGCATCCAGGTCATAGAACAATGTTTTAGCTTTCCAGAGGTTAAAAAGACCTCAACTTATAAAAACATTGTTCCATATAATCAATATTAATTTTATTGCATATATGTAGATATAGATATCTCCATCACTGTCTGTCAGGTTGTTATAATGTAGTAGCTTGTGTATTGTTGTGATGCTTGAAACTATGTCACTGGTATTTTAAATAACAGCATGGTCGCCCATGGTTGACAGGTTTCAGTTGAGCTTCCAGACTCA